TTGATCTATTTACAGGTTTTTCTTTCTTTTTAATATTTTTTGGTCTTTTAATAATTTATTCTTTTATCGGTCATTGGTTTTCTTTTTTGTTGTCATTGCTGACCAACCCCGGGACAGGGGAGCAACAAGTGATCCAAAATCAGTGGCAAGGAGGCTGTGAGAGGCCTAGTAGGGATTCAGCAAGGACAATATAACCAAGAGAAGTGACTGAAACCCAAATGAAGGCTGAGCATGATAGTGGACAAGAGGAAAGTAAAAGAAAATAGAGGAAAGAACTAGGTGACAAAGGGTATTTATAGAGGTCTAAATACTGGCATGTACATATGTAAATACATATATATATATGAGGGTAGGGAAATAGATCTACATGCATATATTTATAGGTTTAGTATTAAGACAGCAGGATGGACATTGGGCCTCCACTCAAGTACTTACTCAATGCAAGAACACGTTGTTCTATTAAATTGGCATTCCATGATGCACACCTTCCTGACAGGATGGCTGAAGAAAAATCTGTGCATAAGCAAATGTGGTGAAGAAAGCTGATAGTGCTCAGCTATCAAAAGATATAGCATCTGGTGTCTTAAAGGCTTGAAGATAAACAAGCGGCCAGCTTGCTCAGAAGCAACAAAGCCCACATGGAAGAAGCCCACATGGTCACACCAGCCTGTGTGACCACGAGCTGTCGAAGGGATCAGTTATCAAACATCAAAGAACAAAAATATGTCATTGTAAATGAGGGTGAGTGCAGAGTAGAGACTCAATATTTTTATTGACATATTTTTGCTTATTCCAATATATCCCTTCCCATACAGCTGTTGTGAAAGTTCCATCGGGTGGGACTATAAAATTGTTATCAATTCCCCTTTCCTCCCCACTGACCCCACTTCCCATACCCTCCAGGAACTGCTACTCCTATCAGTGTCTCTGAGGAGTCATCTATCTTGACTACCATGTACCTAGAGATCTTAAATGAACAAATACAAGTCCAACATGACCAATGAGGTATACTACCATAGTAAGGAAAGGAAACCTTAAAGAACTAGAGGATAGTTATGTGGTTCATCAGTGCCACACCACACCTGGAATTATCCTCTATTCAGTGAGGCCCTACTAAGGGAGACTGTCTAATTGTCTTGCTGGTGGACTTTGGGTCTCCACTACACCCAGTCTCCTTCACATCAATTTGGATGTATGTTTTTTGAACTTGTGATACCTCCTCCCATCGACACCTCATGATCACACAGCCTGGTGTGCTTCTTCCATGTACGCTTTGTTGCTTCCCTGCTAGATGTCCGGTAGTTTAACTCCAAGCCTTTAAGACCCCATACACTATAGCTTTCGATAGCCAGGCACCATCAGCTTTCTTCACATTTGACTATGCACACAATTTGTCTTCACTGATTGTGCAGGGAGGTGGGTATCATACAGTGACACATTATCAGAACACACCATTCTTGTACAGAGTTAAGATTTATGTAGAGGCCCAAAGTCCATCTGTTTCCTTGATGCATTTACATGGGGGAACCCTTCCTCCAAACGGAAATTTTTCTCAATTTATTTAAATCTTCTTTCAAAACAACCTTATAACCTTTAAAGCACTCTCCATTACACTTAATACATTTGTCAAATCTGTGATTCCAATCGTGTGTGTGTGTGAGATTTCATTCTTGGAAACATTTTTCTAACTCATCTGTTTGGGTTGTTGACAGCACCTCTCTCGTTTTCTCTTCACCTCTTCTATGTTGTCAAATTGCTATCCTCTCATGTCCCTCTTCATTTGTGGAAACAAAAAGAAGTCACATGGAGCAAGATCTGATGAGTAAGGTGCATGGAGCAAGAGAGGCATACTGTTTCTATTGCTAAAAACCGACGCAGAGATGGCTGCGTGAGGAGGTACGTTGTCATTGTGGCAATACCAGTCCCCCATCTGCCACAAATCAGGGTTTTTTTTTCTTGTCACACACTGTTACACAATCTTTTCAGAACTTCTAAATAGAAAGCTTGATTAACGGCATGACCTGGTGGCATGAACTCCCAATGTACTACGTCAACATTTTTGTCAGCTTGGGAAGTGGATGGACATCCAGAATGAGGTTTGTCTTCAAGACACCTCACCTTTTTTGAAAGGAGAAAACCATTTGCACATTTGAGTTTTTCCCATAGCGCTGTCCTTGTAAGCAGTGTTCAACCTCACAAGTTTCTGCAGCATTTTTCCTGAGCAGAAACAAAATTTCACAGCTGCATGATGTTCTCTTAAATCAGCCATCACAAAAAAAATGAGTTTCAAGCTGACCTGCTTTCATGAAAAAATTCACTGTGACCAGAGAAAATCTTCCCAGGCAACGCCTCTGGGTGCACTAACTCAAAGTGAGTTGCTCAATGCTCGCCTAATGGGGGAAATGCATACTATGAAAGCTCTGCTCTGCCCAGGGCAATTCGGTTTGAGTTACACACTCATACATATATAAACATACATATATTCATATGTGTGTTCATACATATATGCACACTTAAGTATATTGGGTTTTGTTTTTTTCCTCCTACCTCACTTTTATGCCTGCCTGTCATTCACCTCTAAGGAATTCCTCTGGAACAATTTGATTGCTCAAACATGCTCAGACAAGCTACACCCACCTTGCAGTCCATTTCAGAACTCTTATCCCCCTGTATCCATCATTGTTGGCTCCCCACTCACCTCCCCCACCTTCTCCCCTCCCATGCCTCTCAAGAACCATAGGTCTGGCTGCTGTCTCCGTAAGGTCAACACCAAAAATATATAAACAAAATAATAAAACAAAATGGAAAAAACAACATACAGATATCCACCAGACCAACAGGGATCATGACACAGAGCTGCATTCACATTTGTGTAGAAAAGGTGAGTTTCCCATAGGTCCAAGTTGCCATTCCTACAGTCAGGGATGGAGTGTCTCCTGCCACCTGGTCCGCCTCCCCCTCCCCCCAAATTTATGCCTTAGGTTTTTAGTGTGGCTCCCTTGTGAGTGACCCTCTGCCAGTTCTGGTGGGGTGTCAAGCGCTGCCTCCCAAGATGGAAGTCTACGCTTGGGTTCCTTGGCAACTCTGTGGCTTTGCTCCCATCACTGGTCTGTTGCATTCCTTAGTCTGCTCCTATGAGGGTGGGTCAGACCAGTTGCTCTCCCTGAACTGTATCTTCAGGACTGTCCTGTATAACAGTCATCTAGGGACAGGCCTCCAGTCTCACGCTGAGGCCAGCCCTGCAGGCATCTCTGGGACCAAGCTACTCCACTTGGGACATTGCCTTTGAGGATTGGTATACCAGGATGAAGGACCTTCAGTGTTTCGACTAAGGCGAGTTGAACTGAGTCCTTTGTTCTGTTGTGTGGACTAATTAGCTCTTATATTCCTGCTGATTATACAAACATATCCCTTTATTATATAAAATCCTAAGTGTCCTGGTTTTGTTTCTCTAGTACACCCTGACTAACCAGTGGCCAATATATGGTGCTGTGTCTCCAATAGCCAGGATTCATGGGTCTAGGAATTGATGGGTGGTAGTCGGAGAGGTGCCACTCACTATTACTCCTAGTAATCCACCAGGAAGGAACATTCCCACCTGGAAGTACATAACTGATTCCATTGAACTGGCAGCTAAGAATGGCCCCTGGTCATTTTGGGATCCTCAAGCTTTTGGATCAACAGGTAAAGGGTGTCACTGTTCTGAGTGGTTTGATCAATCTCGATTACCAAGGGAAAATTGGACTGGTGCTACATAACAAAGGCAAAGCATATGTCTGGAATCCAGATTCAATAGGCCTTCATGAGTGAATGGCAAACTGCAGCAGCAGCCCCATTCTGACAGCACTGCTAATGACACAGACCGCTCAGCAACAAAGGTCTGGGTCACTTCACCACGCAAAGAACTATGACTAGCTAAGGACAAAGGGAATACAGAATTGGTAACGGAGGAAGGCAGTTCTACCTATCAGTTATGATCATGTGACCAATTACAAAGGTGAGGTTTGTGACTGCTAGTTTTTTTTATATGTGCTTATTGAAAATCTTTCCTTTGTTCATGTGTAAAATACCAGCTACAAATAGATTGTTTTCATTTATATGTATACTAGCTATATGATGTTAGGCATATTTCATTAGTATCTGAAAATTATACATGGATAAATTGTTTACAAGTGTTAAGTTGGTAATGGGTGGACTGTGATGTTTGGCTTTGTGTGCCAATACGGCTTCGGTAGAATCTTGGGGATGGAATTTAACCTGCCAGTGGGTCGCAGCTTGATGGGAGGGCAATGAATGGCTCTGTGAGGCCAGCCTCTCTCTCCAGGGTGATCAGACTAGCTGGCTGCTGCTGGAGTTAGCTGCTCTGTGCTACCAGTGGGCCTAGCCAACCTGTGGATCTTGTTGCTGTGTTGTGGTATCCCTAGGCCTTGAGGCTCTATTGTGACCTGCTTTGCAAACTGCTGTGCTACCAGCCTTTGCTACACCTTGACATTTAATTTAACTGCTGTTGCTGCCCCACCTTGCGGTGTCTGCTGCCTGCAGGCTGTGGACAGGCTTTGTCCCTACCACCAGCCACTTTTGTTGTCTGCATCCTTGACCTTGGACCAGTGGCTGGCATTGAGTTAGAAGGGGCTTCAGTATATTAACTGTCCCACCAAAGTTAGTTGAACTGAGACCTCCTTACTACTGGGTGGACTAATTAGCTTTTGCATTCCTTCCCACTATATAAGCCTATCCCTTTATAGATACAATCATAAGTATGTTAGGATACTGAAATGCCTAAGTCTCTCTTACAGAATACCTTCCAGGCATAATCATTGTAAAATTATGACTATCCTCAGATGAAATTTTACTTAGTATTTGGGGAAGGGTGGGATCACTCTATTCTTTACAGTTCAGCAGCCTCTAGGGAAAACCAGACACATATACTTCAAAATCGAAATAGTTCTCATTTGAATAAAATTTCTATTAGATTCCTCCACAGTAAACAGAATCTTGGATAAACACAAGCTTAGGATAATTTTAATTGAAGAAAAATGTCATTACAGAAAGTAGCAATGCTTATCATTCTTTAAACACCATAACATTATTTATATAAGCTTTATGCTTTGATCAGTTCCATTCTTGGGCTCAATTTAAAAAACACAATTATAACAGATTTTATACAAAAAATACTTCACTAAGAAAGTAGACAAACTGCACAAAAACAGTATTAGTGTAATATGCATAGCAAGATAGCTTGAAGCATCTACATATGGCTTTTTAAAAAATAAAAGTATTAGGGAGTTGGCCCACGCGGGACCAACTTTTTACAGTTGACATATGTAAACTGTTTCACATCTTTTAGGCACTTGCTAACAATAGTGTTCAATCCCTGAAAAAATGAATTTACAAAACAAAAATCTGTATCTGAAATAAAAAACAAAAATTACATGGATAAAGTCTTATATATTCTTCTTAAATTAAACAACCAGATTTATTAGTGCATGCACAGAAGTGAAAGAAAATATTTTTTTTCCAGCAAAAATTTTCTGTGCAAAATTTACATAATAAACTGAAAAACACAAAAATTATATACAGGTTTAAATTCTTCACTATATTCAGAAAAGATGCCCTGAAGTTTTAATCCAAAATAAAATCAAAATGTCACAACACTTATAGTAACAAGGTAACAAAAATCACGTAGCATATACTTCATAATACAATGTAATTTTTCAATGATCCAACAAATTTTGATCCACACCTACAAAGCCAAAAATTTAAATGATTCAGTTGTCCAAGAAAACACTCATTTACATCTTCCTGTTCGAGTGTGTCCCTTAGGAATTTTCAAGTTTTACACACTGCCACTACATCCACTGTTACTGCATCCCCACTCTCAACTGCCAACCATTAGCAAAAATTGGCTTTTTCGGTCTTACTTAATAGTTGCTAATACAGTGGGTTGTTTCAATTTGGTCAGATTCCTATAGTAATTAACAAAACACAAAAATCTGACTTGCTTTACTTCAAAAATTGGTTTTATAGGGTAATTTTCATTTTCAAGAAGAGCCAATCTTTAAAAAGAAAGAAAAGCCAATCCTTTCAAAGTGCTTCTGTGTTCAACTCTTTTTAAAGAGATGGCAACCAAAAAAAAAAACAAACCAAAAAACATTTTGGTTTATGGGGTGAAGTGATTTAGATAAGCATAGTTGTTTGCAAACAGACCACGAGAACATAATCAAATTTTAAAAAAAAGTTTAAATTAGTTAACTAGTTTCTAAACCAGAGCAAGAAGTTTAATTCTTCTTTCTAGGCTGTCAATCTACTGTAGTGCTTGATATAGTAATTTAGAAAGAGTAAGAAAATCACCTTGGGAAGGTGTGTCAATCTCTAGCATGGGACAACATAAATAAAAAAAAATATGTAAAGACGTTTTAGAATTACTTGCCAAAAAAACCCTTCAAGCATTACACTGAGGGGTAACTGGAATAAATTATATGCGCTCTCAAAGGAACCTATATTCTTCAAAAGAACTTCACTGACCAGAGAGATACACCAAAGTTCTCTCCTCAAGCTCTCTCAGCATATCCATACAAATGTTCAGCTGCATGGTGAAAGCTTTCCACCTTCACGAGAGCTATACATATCAGATTCATAAGGCTGGTGAAATAAGAGGGAGTGGGGCTATCAGCTGCCACCCTCTATTGAGTCACAAATATTCTTAATATAAATTGAGAAAATAAAACTGTTTTATAAAAAGTTTTCTTTAGCCCTAACTGCCCAAGAATATAATTCAAGGAACATCTGTGCTGTGATTAGTTGCTTTCAAAACTTACCTGTTCTTGGGAACATTACCTATTATCACATGTCAATCTTCTGCTCTTCTACTGAAATACTTCAACCAACTTGAAAAGTGTTTAATTTCAGGTACTATTTTTTTTAAGTGAAAAAATGTCTGCATTATGGTCATCCAACCTAGTATTTTCTTCTAATTTTACTTTTTCTTTTCCTTGATTATGGTAAATTATTGTAACATATTCCAATCTCGAGTAGCTTCCACTAAATGTCTCTGCCCATGACCAGCCCAATCATCCTGATTGTCAAACACTCGACCACAAAACCAACACTTAAACCTAGCTTTCTGAACACTTCCAGAGGTAGTTTTCACAATCTGGTAATTGTTTTTGCTGGTCTTTTTGAGTGTCAATTTTAGCACAAACCTTTCTTTCACAGAACTAAGAGGTTTACATGTTTTGTGCCTCTTGGGAAATTCAACATAAGTTGTTTTAGAAGGGTTACAGCAAACTGGTTTCAGTAAGGCATTCAGAGTTCTTTCTGACAACGTAACCTTAAGCACATGTCCTTTGAATTTAGCAATAGTTTTCATTACATTTACTACTTCTGGTGCATCTGCATCAGGATGGTTTAAAACTACCACTGGTTGGTTTCTCCAAGGACATTTCACCAGCTGTTTGGAACTAAAGGGGAAAACACGCAACATTCTGACAGCATCTTTTGGAAGCCGAGGTCTAAGCATGTCATGGAAATCTTCAGGCTTAGCCTTTTCCTTACACTTTCGATGGAGTGTTGCTTTTTTCTGAGGTTCTTGGTAACCATCCCTACATTTTCTTTTACAGTTTCTGTCTCTGGTTGCAAAGGCAGTTTCAGAATCATAAATTCCCACACGAGTTTTTATTCTTGAAAAATTTCTTTTGGAAACCTTTTTACGATTGCAGCTTCTCGCATCTGTACAATCTGCTTTAGACCTTAAAACCCTGGTGTCTGAACAGTTGGTAACACACACTGGCTCAAGAGATTCTGGGCATGCTGCTGTAGAATTTACCACAACTTCATTTGCTGGCATCAAATTATTTAATGAAAGGGGTAAGGCATCTCTTGAAGACTCTGGTTCTTTCTGGCCTCCTTCTGTGGTCTGGTTAGATGATACACTGGCTTTTTGCAATGAGGATGCAGAATGGCTTCCTGACAGACTAGTAGCAGCATTCACATTTAAAACAGGGTTAAAAACCTTCAGCAGTATTTTCTGTGGTGTTCCATCAGGGTTCTTTGGCTGTAAGTTTTGATAAGTACTATTTTGGACTATGGTAGGCTTAAGCAGCTCAGTTTTATTTGGCATCACACACTTTAATAAAACAGCTTGTTTGCCATCAGGCAAGAGGGCATAAACAGGTGGTTTGGGAAGTACCTCGTTCTGCTGTTTCCCTGAATCCAAGATGGTCAACCTAGTGCCCTGATGCTCGGATGGCACAGGAGGGGGTACAGTTTTTTCTGAAGAACTTGCTGTTTTAATAAAGTAAGGGCCTTTTAATGACAAGTTATTCTCGGCATTATTCTTCATGTTCAAACAACTACCAATAGTGGAACAAAGTGCAGGTGTAAGACAAGTAGTACTTGTTCCGCACGGCTCTTTAGTAATTCCATCACAACTCTGAGCACTCTCTGTTTTGACACCAGAAGCACCTTCACGTTTCCCGTTACTGAAAGTTACAATCATCCCAGGCTGCTTGTTTAAGAGAAGAGAAGCAGGTACACCTTGTGTGTTAATCAGTGAAAGCGGTCTTCCTGAAACCACCTGAAATCCAGGCTTGTTAGCAACTTGCCACGGTACAAAAAGGCCATTTGGAGTCTGAACAAATACAGCCTTTTTTGGTTCTGAATTTAGAAATGGATTCTGAATATATAAAGAATTTAAATTCTGTGTAGTGGCTCGTAGTTTATCTTTTACAAGCTGCTGTGTTATTATTGCATCTGACTGAGTCTTAAGTAATGTGCTAATTCCTGCAATATTATGTGCCTTCTCTGAATCCTTTACATTTTGTGGTATCAACAGCACTTGTTTTCCATTGCATTTTAAACTCAGATCATTTGTAAGCTCATTAACACCAACAGTGTCAGATGGAACCGGGATCATGCCTTGCACTTTCAGGTCTTTTGAAGTTACTAGTATTTTGCTCTCTCCCTCATGTTTCTGAAATGACAGACCATCCTGAACTGGCAGGCCTTTATTTGGAATGTTACTGGAGTCTTGCTTTACATCAGGTTTTGTTTTTAATACATCTTGAAGTAACTGGTTTACTTCAGGTGGCAAATATTGTGAAGCCTGTTGGCTCTGGAGAGAAAAAACAGATGTAATTCTAGGCATCATGGGTGAATCAACATTGGAAAAGTTATTCCACTTAGGTTTCTCAATTATGCTCTCTGAAGTTTGGATTTCGTTCTTATACAAGTTCTGTCCGTCAATGCTTTGTTCTTCAACTTCAGCCTGTGCTTTTATAGTTCCACATTGAGTATTTAAATCGCTAACAGACGCTAACAGGCTATGTGGATTTGAGTTCTCTTTCTTCACGAGTGATAAAACTGATTCACTTATTGGGTGTTGAGTCATCATTTTGCTTGAAGATTCCCTTTGAAGATGTTCATACATTACCCTACCAAGTTTATTAGGGTTACTTACTTTCGAGTAATTATGAAAAGGCAATGATCGTTGGCTGGAAGATTCATCAGTCAATTCAGAGTTGACATACTTAATGCAATAGTTATGCATATCTCTACTTTTATATGTATTTGGTTTGAAAATACAGTTATCCTTATCTGGACTTTTAATGGTGGTACCCAATACCTGAGGGTGACTCTGAGTAATATGATTTCCCCATAAATCAACATTATCTCTGGCTTCAACTTTTGTAGCCAAATTCACTGGTGACATAATGAATTCTGATGTTGCTGGCAAAAAAGATACACTCTTTTCATCATTCACAGTTTGAAGCACATTATTCATTTGAGATATCAAAGCCATTTCTTTTTCTGAAGTCATTTTCCCTGAAAGTACAGGAGCTGCAGGTGAAAATGAAGTAGAGGCTTTCATAAAAACTGTGTCATTTAACTCAGCTGCTACTCCTGCAGATAAGAACCCAGTGGTGTCCATAGCTCGGGGCTGCAAATTAGCAGTACCTGGCTTAGAAACATCTGACTGTGAGCTTGGTGAACATAAACTCTGCTTATTAACAGGTAACAATTTAATTACAATATGTTGTTTTCCATCCACCATCTTAAAACCCATAAATTTAGCACTGTAGTTAGCAGGAACTGGTATTCTGTTATTTTTCACCATTAACACTGTAGGTCCTTGTACAGAAGAAGTCTTCAAGGGACCTAGAGCAGAGTCTGGCCCCGCTTCAGCTCTATTACACTGCCCAGTGAGCACCAGAGTTGGGTTTTGTGAGTGTAACTCGGCCGGCCCATCCTTCTTCTCACAGTGCACGCTTTCACCCTTGGCCTCCTTGCCGTTTTCTTCAATGCGACGATTCTGGTCTTCAGCCTGTGTTTCGTTCGTTTTAAGTACTTGATTGTTTTCTTCTTTACTTTCTTCACTTGCATTGTCAATTTTCTCCCGTTTCCAGAAGGTCTTCCTTGATTCACCTACTTTGTATCTTTTCAGTATCAGCTTAAGGCCTGCTGAAGTCTCTGCAATCCTTTTTTCATACTTTTCTCTTTCTAGTTTTTCCTTTGCATATAAATGTTCTTTGTGGAAAGTTGTAACGTGTCTTATAAGGTACTCTTTCCTGGTGACACCATAGCCACAATACTGACAGACGAAGGTAAATGTATTTGAATGAACCTGAAGATGCTTCTGAAGTTCTCCTTTGGAAAAACATCCAAAATGGCATTTATCACATTTATAATGAGCTTCATTATGTCTATAAATATGCTGAACAAATGTGCCAACATCCTGGGTGGAGAATTTGCACCTTTCACACTGAAAATTGCCATTAATACAATGAGTGGATATGAAATGCTTTGTCAAGTCCAATAACGTATATACAGTTCCATTGTTACAAATGTCACATTTTACTAAAGTGCTTTTATGGGTGCGTCTGTGTTGTTTAAATACCTGGAAGTCATTTGCTGAAAAACTGCACATTTCACAAGGATAAGAAGGTAATTCGCCGTGGTGCCACATTTGAAAGTGTTTCTGCAAATCATTAGGGCTATATGGAGTACTGTCTAGGCATTTTGAGCATTTAAAATTGAGTATTTTTGCAGACATTTTTATACCTTGTTCTTCAGTTATCTCAGACTTGCCCTCTTCAACATACCTTATGTTTATACTGATAGATTTTCTTGCAGTCTGTGGTTTACACTGAAATAGTTTTTTGTATCTATCAATTTCATGTTTGCACACAACTTCATTTGGAATATTTATCTTCGGCAAATCAATTTTCACATTTCTTAGTTCATAATGGCAACTACTTTCCAAAATACTTGATTTAGGTGCTGATCTGATAGTTGAAATGATTTCACTTTTTATATCATCCTCTTTTTGTAAAGCAGAATGATCTTCATCACAAAACAACTGTGTTTGTTCAGATGGCATGATTTAACAAAAAATTCCAATTTATTTTTTCTTTTCCTTCTGTGGAACTCCTGAATTTATTTGAAATTTAAATGTGAAAAAATAGTGCGCTGAGACATTTTCAAATACCAGGAATTTTCCCACATTAATGCACCTAAAATTAAAAAAAGAACTGAAATTTTCATCACAAAAGTAACACTGAATTATGTCCTTCCAGCTCATTTAACACAAAGGCTATTAGTGAAACATACAAATAAAATATACAAAATATCTATTAGATATTTTCGGAATAGCTCAGCAAGAAGTAATAATTTGAAGTACAAATAACAGTAATCTGAGTCAAGAAATGCGTGCTATCCTCAACTCTTCTGTGATTTTAAGCAAGCTTCCAGTTCTCTGTGCCCTTGTTTCCTCATCTAAGGAAAACCTATTGGAAAAATGTATTCAAGCTAAGATGTTCATATTAAATAGATACTATAATTTTAACAGGATCTTTCACATGTTAACAAGGCAGCCCTAAAAATGTACACATATTTACCCATGTAATTATAACTACCTTTCACGTTTGCTTAGTTGATTCTTCAACTATTACCCAACAAAATCCCAACAGATTTCTCTCCAGATTTCCTACCTCTGTAATGCCTCAGGGAAAAACCATGCTTAAAACACAACTTTCCTTTATCTAACAAGAACAACAATAATTAAAAAAAAACAGCTTCTGCAAGTTATCATTGCTAACGGGTGAAAACAGAATAAACAGAAAAGTAACATACCTCCCTGGGTTAAACACTAAGTCTACATTCTATCTTTCTGGTCCTCCACCACTTGGCCATTTGGTTCTTACACACTTCGAAATTCAAACAGCAGCTAAGAAAAGCCCTGACAGACTAAAATGTACCCATTACTATCCACCTCCATTAATTTAAATACTTACTGACGTCTTAACTTCAGACAAGTCTCAATCTCTGTCTTAGTTTCTTCACCTGTAAAATAAAAAAAAAGGGGGGGGGGAATCAGTACTCTTTCTTATTCATAAGTAGTTGTAAGGATTAAGAAAACATAACGTGGAGCATCTTATATTAAAGTGCCCTATCAGAGTATGGTAGTGGATCTTAAAATTTGGAGGTGCTAGCATATCTGAATAGGGTGATTTAAGACCTTATTAAAATTCCATTTATAATTTAGACTTCCAGTACGACCTTTCTAAAGAAAGTCAGACAGCCTTTTTCCTCGTCAAGGTATTACTTACTGTTTGAGTTCCAAAAAAGAAATCACAACTTCTAACCTATATAAAGAACTGTTTATTTGTTATCTTAATTGACTCTTTTTGAATATCTGTGGGAAGTTGTCTGAACAATCATAACTTCTCCTTAATCAGATAAACCTTTAAATGTTTTATATTAGAGTTGACTCATCAACTTCCTCTATTTCCTAACCAAGCAAATCAGTTTTCCATCTTAAGGATGTCAGCCAGAATTGTCCTGATGTACATTCACTCACAAGACCCCTCCATGAAACTGTTTACACTGCATTTTTCAGAAATGCTGCCTTGGGAAAGTTCTATCAGGGGCTAAGAAATTAGTTTTTTGCTAAAAATTATTGTTGAAAAAGTTCTAGATTTGATAACTCCTTATAAATTCTGCCCTTTCTGTACACGTCTCTTTGCTGTAAAAGGTTCCCTACATTTGCTTTACCAAATAAAAATTGATTGTTTCCTCCTATAAGAGAGGACTCATGCATCCTCTACAAAAGTGCTGTTTCTCCATTTCATGAAGTACAATTTACTCCTTCAATAAATTTTTTCATTTTTAACAGAGCATTAGTCTAGTGGCTCCTATGGGGCAAACAGATACACGAATACATTATTTATTCACAGCTGATTGTTCAACAACAGTACACAGTACAGTCACTGAATTGAAAATTTTCAGAATGCCAGGCAGTCAAAATATATGTGCCACCAAACTCACAATTAAGCATATGCTTGCACATTCTCATGCAGTTTACTCTTATTTAGATATAATTAAAATGAATTTGTTTGGGTTTCACAGTACCCAGCAAAATTTCCATGTGCATGAAGAAGCTACTGTCCTTTCCTTCAATTAAGTCTAACATGTAGCAAGCGAGGACTCTCAAAGATAATACCCAACAGCAAGGTAACTAGGGTCTCCCCCACTGGGCACAATTTTTTTCATCTGGTGAACATAAAAGAAAGCCAAGCAATTTTTATTTGAGCTCTCTAACCTAGTAGCTCCAATGTTTTTATTATAGCTCAATCTTGAGCCTACCAACAAGGATTCCTGGTTTCACATCTATTTAACTAATTACCTTACCTTATTTATATATATGTATTATTACCTCATAAGGTCTGACCAGCATTCTATGTCTTGAAATAATCAGTACTATTTGCATAAATTATGATTGGCTGTTTAAAGTAAACTGGAGTTTCCAGCATCAATATGACAATTTAAGTTCCATCTCCCAATAAAATAACCACACACAAAGTATATAGAAAATCTTGCAAAATAGCCAGTAGTGGAGAAATATTCCATAAACACACTATAAGATATTTTGACTAAGAAATGGTCCAAAGAGAAAAGAGGAAGAAAAACAAGAGGTGATCTACTTCCAACTACCACTTTTAAGAAGAAAATTCACTCAGAGACATTAATACTGTTGTAGAGTGAATTCCAAACTCACAGTGACCTGACAGAGCACAGTGGAACTGCCCTACAGGATTTCAAAGACTGTAAATCTTTAATGAGGAAGAATGCCATACCATTCTCTTACAGAGCAGCTGGGGATTCAAGCAACCGACCATTTGGTTAACAGTCAAGTGCTTAGCCACTGTGCCACCAGGGATCCCTAGGGAACATTCATTCAACCAATACTTATCTATTTTTTTAACAGCTTTATTGGCATATACTTTACATATTATACAATTTAATTGTTCAATCATATTTAAGAAGAGTTGTGCAATCATAACCACAATCAATATTAGGATATTTTCTTCTCAAACTCATTGTTGCTGGCTCACTATTCTCCCCCTCATTCAACCAATATTTAATGAATAATGATTATATCCCAGATAAGAGACTCTGCTCTACTCCCCCTAAACATACCTTGGGAGATGAAACGAGGGCTTCAGAAGGAGCTCAATGGAGGCTTTTGGATGACAAAGATTCAGGCTGAGGTATCAGGAAGGAACTTAATCCAGAAACTCAGGGTGGGTCCAGACGCCAGACGGAGTAGGAGGTTGTTAGCACCAGCTGTCAACAAGATGTAAAGATGAACTTATACTGAACAAAAATGTACACTCCTGGCTCTCATCCTTTGCTTAAAAGTTCTGTCCTTCCTTTGTCAGGGGACAAAGATTACATTAACTCAGAGGAAATCTTGGTTTATTCTTTAAGACCGAAACTCAATTTCCAATGCCATCAATATAGAAAAGGAGGCAAAAGCATCATTCAATGTACTCAGAGGAACCCTTCCTTCCCCACTCCCTACTTCAGCCACAAAGTTACTACAACGAGAAAGTACTGAAGAGAAAAATTTAAAAACTTTAGGGGCAAAAAACTATTAATTACTCATTTCAGTGAGAGATAATATAAAAAAATAAGATCTGACAAGTTGATGAGGGTAAATTAACTTTAGAAACAAGAAGTAAAAAAAAAAAAAAGTCTTGAAAAAAAAAGAGAGACTTGAATTTTCAAAGTAACAGGCAAGATTGTGGGGGAGAAAAGGAAAATCAACTGCTGACACATTGTGTTAGCTCTGTTGTAGGCAGCCACCAAACCAGACAACAGGAGATCTATTCAAATTCTGTGATTTCTTTCTTTCTTTAACTCTATCGTGGTTCTGTTTTCAATTTAATTTTACTCCTGTTATCACAAACTTGTTCTAGAGCCAGGGTTACAATGGTTTATGGAAATGAAGCAACGTTTTAAAAGCATAGTACCCAATATTTAACACACTAACCTAAACATTCTATGTTGCTTCAGCCAAGAGTAGCACTTAAACAGAAACGTCAGCCCTTTGTATTCCCAGTGAGACGCTCTGTATGACTTACTCTCAACCTGTGTAGTTTTTTTTTCAAATGATGAGCAGAAAGCCTCATCATTCTCCCAAGGAGTGGAGGTGGTTTTGAACTGCTGAACTTGTGGTTAGCAGCCCAATGCACAACCCAGTATACCAACCAGGTCTCCGGAATACAATTAAGTAGAAAACAAGGAAAAGAACAGAGCCGGGAAACAAACACAGTGTGAAAATACATACAATGTCCTTACAAGTAGCATCTTTTAAATCTAAATACACAATACGCAAGTGAGCCTGGACCAATGTTTATCAGTATCTAACTTGTGTTGCCCTAAGTGGATGATGGTTCGTTTCTGCTTCCCTTCTGTGTCCAATCTATGTCCATATGTATGGATCAGCTAAGGTTGTGGTGATCTTGTTAGGTGCTATTGAGTAGGTTCTGACCCCTAACGAACCTATGCACAACAGAACCACACACTGCCCACTTCTTCGCCATCCTCACAATTGTTCCTATGCCTGAGGCCATTGTTGCGACCACTGTGTTAATCCATCTTGTTGAGGGCCTTCCTCTTTTTTGCTGCCCCTCCACTTTACCAAGCATGATGTCTTCATCTTAAACAAAATTAAGAATAGCCTACTGCTTTGTCAGACATCCGGTCTTTGGTCTACCCTAAATCCTTGCCAAGGATCCTTGGTGACGCAGTGAGTTTAAACGCTGGGCTGCTTTCGGTTAATAGCTCAACCCCACCACCTCCTCCAGAGGAAAAAGATGTGGCAGTCTGCCTCAGAGAGCTGTTACCGAGGAGTTCAAGAAGAAAGAAAATTGAAAATTATGATGGCAGCAATTGTACAACTATGCTTGATCTAATGGATCTATGGATTGTAATAATATATGTAAATGCTCTTAATAAATGTTTTCTTTTAACATCTATATATGTACATATGTATAGCCTCAGAATCCTCTGGAACTGTCCTACAGGGAAGCTGTGTGGGAATTGACTCAAAGGCAATGGGATTTTCTGATACTGGTGAGCCCTAAGGTCATTTCTACTCTGAAGGTTACGGTCTCGGAAACCAACAGGGGCAGCTCTACCCTGTCCTATAGGTCACTATGAGGTGGAATTGACTCACGGACAGTGGGTTTGGGTTTAGTTTTCTCATAGGAAGCCTTCATCTACCGACATAATTTTTCCCTTTGCCCTGCATTGCTCAAGTTTGCTACTCAAAATTTCAAAACCACACAGCATAGCTTTTAGAGGCATAAAAATACTAAAATTTAGGATGGTACTTGCACATGGTTTGGGAAGAAAGGAATATGACCATAGAACACACAAAATGTGGGTGAAAGGGGACACAAAAATATCCATCAATAAATAAACAATGGTATTTTAATAGGATATTATCCAATTTTACAAATAATATGGCAAATATGTGGAAGCATGAAGCTGCAATTATATATGAGTGGCTTTTAAAGTTCATGGAAAAACTGCATTAAAAAACTATGGAAATTTTAAATTAACCTTTTAAAAGTCTTTCCATCTACAGTATTTATAATTCTCTCATGTTTAGGAGCCTTAGTGGCATGTGGGCTACAAACCTCAAAAGTGGTTGTTCAAACCCACCAGCTGCTGAGAAAGACAAGGCTTTTCTGTTCTCATAAAGGTTTAGTCTCAAAATGGGTGCATAAGCAAATGTGGTGAAGAAAGCTGATGGTGCCTGACTATCAAAAGATATAGTGTCTGGAGTCTTAAAGGCTGGAAGATAAACAAGCGGCCATCTAGTAGAGAAGCAACAAAGCCCACATGGAAGAAACACACCAGCCTATGTAATCATGAACTGTCGATAGGATCAGGTTATGAGGCATCAAAGACCCAGAACAAAAAATCGTATCGATGTGAATGAGGGTGGGGGCAGAGTATAAACCCAAAGTCCATCTCTAGACAATTGGATGTCCCCTTACAGAAGGGTCACAAGGAAGAGATGAGCCAGTCAGGGTGAAGTATAGCACCGATGAAACATACAACTTTCCACTAGTTCTGTAATGCTTCCTCCCCACCCACTATCATGACCTCAATTCTACTTTACAAATCCAGCTAGACCAGAGCATGTACACTGGTACAGATAAGAACTCGAAACACAGGGAATCTAGGACAGATAAAGCCCTCAAGACCAATAATGAGAGTAGCAATACCAGGAGATTAACAGGAAGGTGGGGGTGAAACGGGGAGCCAATCACAATGATCGTCATGTAATCCACTGCCAGGGGGATGGACAACAGAAAAGTGGGTGAAGGGAGACAGCAGTCGGAGTAAGACATGAAAAAAAAAATTATCGATGGTTCATGAGGGAGGGAGTGTGGAGGAGGGGAAAATGAGTTGATACCAAAGGGTCAAGTTGAAAGAAAATGTTTTGAAAATTATGAGGGCAACATGTACAAATGTGCGTGACACAATGGATGGATGTAAGGACTGTGATAAGAGCTGTAAGAGCCCCCAATAAAATGATTAAAAAACAAAAAAAAGATTTAGTCTCAGAAACCCTAAGGTGTTCTTCTACTCTGTCCTATCGGGTCGGTATGAAATGTCATTTACTTGATGTCAGTGGTTTGGGGATTTTGCTTTTTGTTTGTCTATCAAAGATACATTCCATGAAAAAGCAGGGTAATAACAAACAGCATGGAGTATGTACACAGTTTTACTATGCAAATAAAAAATGTCATCTATTTACACAACACAGATTGTATAACAATCCATTTCTTAAGCTTGGTATATAATTAAGACAATAAAAATTGTTCAAATAATAGGGCAAACAGAAAACAAATGTTTTGAGAATGATGATGGCAATAATGTACAAATGTGCTTGACACAATGGATGGATGTATGGATTGTGATAAGAGTTGTATGAGCCCCCAATAAAACGATTAAATTAAAAAAAAAAGTGGTGGTGCCACTACAAAATCTTTGTTCCTAAGCCAACAGGACATAAAGCAAAGGAGCAATTACCATTAATTTACGTGGGGAAAAATTCTGAGTGTGCGCAGATCCAAAAATATAACCTACAAAATCATACCAAATAATATACAAAGCCTAAAACAAACAGGCATATAGTGCTCACAGACATAGTTCAAAGCTATGGTGGCCTCATGCTGACATGTTGGACATGGCTCCAGGGAAGGAGCTTGGTGACGGCACTTTCTAAAGAGTGAACATTGTTTCTTTAAAGGCTTGCTACAAAACAATGGCTGAATGTGACTTTTCTCCATTCTCATAAAAGTGAAAATCCTCTTTGGTTTTCTTTCCATTAGTGCAATCAGGTACTTATGTAGGTCTTTTGTAAAAGCAAAGTGAAATAAAGCAAACTTTTGAAAAGTGATACATACCAATGAGGTGGCTTCAAAATGTTCATGGAAAAATCCATTATCTTTTAGTTTCATTTTTCCACAAGGGTTTTTAAGCCTCCTTGATACAAGTATTCAGGAGTCTTGGTGGTGTAGTGGTTACCCATTGGGTTGCTACATGCAAGGTCGGCAGTTCAAAACCACCAACCACTCTGTGAGAGAAAGATGAGGCCTTCTACTCCCATAAAGAGTTCTAGCATCAGAAACTCACAGGGGCAGTTCTACCCTGGTCCTATAGGTCACCAAGAGAATCAACTTGATGACGAGGAATTGGTGGGTTTGGTGTATGTGCACACATAGTACACCATTGAACTACATGATGTATTGTTTAAATAGTGTGCTCTTTTTAATAAAGTGCTAGATTTCATTTAGAATTTTTATGCCATTTTTGATGGCTTTAGTATTAGCATTACAGAAAATTAGTTAATATATTGGATAACTTTTCATCATTTCACATATTTACTAAACCCAAGAATTGCAAACCCTTTCAATTACATAGGTTGTATCAATAACACCCTCCACATGGCCCTAGTACTTCTTTTAGATTTAGATTTTACAACCTTTCAAGTTGTTCTATAGTTTCTCATCTCTTCAGGTTTACTACTGAAGGCGGCATCAGTTTTGGCAATTTATACTTTCCCTGAAGATAATCAGTTCCCTTCATATTTCCAAAGTACATTCCCATAAACCTCACTTTTAAGCATCTATTCTATAAGGGTCACTCACTCAAGTTTCCATCTGCTGCATCAATAAAGTTTGTTTTCTGCTTGTCACGCACACACAAAAAAGATTCTATTCCATAAAAAAAAGTCACAGTACGGCCTACAGAAATACAAG